TATGCATGTGTCATCACTGAGGGTGTTGTGTCTGTGGCAGGGGAAGGACCAGAAATGCCAGCTCTGGCCATGCAGGTCAGATCACAGCACCCGGGCCTGGATGGTTCTGTGTGCTTCGTGCCTTGCAAAGAGCTGCCCATCAGCAGTTGTGCTCTGGAAAGCACGAACAAAAGGGCATTTCAGCAAGGTTCACGATGTTGGGAGCTGCAGCCCTGTCTCTGCTTTACGGTACAAATTGTAGGAGGTGAGCAGGAACCAGAAAACGCAGGGGAGTGCGAGTGGGTCTGCACTGCCAGGCTGTGTGCCAGCTGCTCAGCGCCAGGTGGAGCAAGGAGATGTAATCCCGGCCAGCCAGAGTTCAGGGAAGCTCCTGACCCACATTCGTTATCTCACTCTAACACCGCAGGAGACAAAATCTCTCCTTCCTTACACCGCTGAGCCACCTGCGACGCCGTGGTTGCCAGAGGTGTCTTTTCTGCCCGTAGGTGAGCAGGTGGCTGGAACACGATGGAGGTCTGCAGCATCACCTCTTTGCTTCTGTTTCCCTGTTTTGTGTTCTCAGCTTTCTTCACAGGTCATCTGAGTGGCGTAGCCTGTAGCGTATTGAAAGGCTGATAATAAGGTAGATGACATCTGTTTAGGTCACATATTAGATAGGATTAATGCTTCTAAAGACTTACAGGCTACAGCTTAGCACTCTGCTATCTGAACACACTGGCCCTGGTACATGTGATGGCTGTCAGCAACAGACCCGGCGCTCCTACCGCTCGAGATAGATGGCAGCTGGACATCCAAGTGACCATGGCAAAGGACATATAACATGTCCTTCACTAACGCAGACAGGCAGTAAAAGCCACAAGTGACGACGTGCTTATTCTTGTGAAGGAGCTCCCAGAGGGAGAAACAACTCCGCTTTGCCTGGGACAGAGGTGCTGCCCCACAGAAGATGGATACGCTCATCCCTGCTTGCAGAAATGATAAACGGGCGCATCAGTTTTCATGCTGGCAGGATTTTTGGTTGCAAGCTTCCTCTTCAGCAAGAAGAGAAGCAAAATTCTCACTAACCCATGTCACCCACAATGCTTACCCACCTCTTCCCCTTTATAAACAATACAGCTCTGTGCAGCTGCCCTCCATAGATGGGCAGGGGAGTGGGATGCCCAGGACTGTAACCTCAGAAGAAGGCACCACGGCCGCCTCCCTCTCTCTGTCAGCAGGCACAGCAGCAGCAGGCAGGCGCGGCCCAGGGCTCTATGCACAGCCTCACAGGCATTAGACTCTCCGTATTTGCAGGGAGTCAGCTGGATCTTGTGACCTGTGTGAACAGCAAGGCTTTGGAAAGAAGCTCAATAGGCACATTATGTCCTTCATTTCAGATCCCCAGTCCAGAATGAAGGGAAAAGAGATAGAACTTAAAAATCAAAACTCACTTTACTTTTAGAGTCCTAAAGTCCCCCTGAATAAGACACAAGTCACTGATGCAGCAAGTCCCACCAAGTTATTTAACTGGTACTGTGGGAGTTGATTAGAATGACTTAGTTCCAACTCATAAACCCACATGCTGACTCTTTCTCCCTTGCCAATTAAAGGTATTACTTAGCACTAATAGACTGCTTTCATTTTCAGGGGGCTTAGGAAGACAAATTAATCACCTCGACATGTCTGAAAGGAACAGATGGTAATGAAGTATTAACGTTGCAATTTCACAGTTGGAAAATCCCCTGAGAGAGGGGGCTACCGCAGTGTCTGGAGGACACGTGAACCCACTCCCTCTTTAGAGCTGGGGTTCCTGGGTCTCATCTCCAGTCCAAGATTTTCCTTTATCCCAACGTCACCACATGTTACTTTTCCTAAGCAAATAAGCATATTTTCTTATTCCATCTTTAAAAAGGAGTAACATCCTTCCAGAAGGCCTCTTACCTCAGCACATCTCCAGACAGGTCATTACTGCTTTGGATTTAAAAGACTAAATGTCTATCCAATAATACAATTAGTCCAGCTTGCCATTGCTTCTTACTGGCTATAAGCAGAGAAGTGGTCAGGAAGAAACACACTCCCTTGTCCATACAGTGGAGATTTTTTTTTCCCTGAATCATTTTTGGTTACACAATTGGGTACAGAATATCCAGTTGCATTTTCCTCCCCACTCACTCCTATCTCAGAGGACCATGGGCATGGAGCAGTGTTGCTCTGTGGGGCCTCTTGGCTCAGTCATACAACACACAATTTCTTAAGCTACATCTGGAAGGAACATAAGCTTACTCCAGGGCAAGGGTTCCTACAGCAAAACTTGTGTATGACCATCCTTAGCAAATGGCCAAGCACCCACTTGTGTGACCATCCTTAGCAGAACCAGCTCAGGATCCAGGCTGGAACAACTGAAAGGTCTCTTCTAGCAGCATGAGGCCAAAGGCAAGTGGTCTGCAAACACCACAGACTGAGCCAGGGCTGAGAGCAACTTCTTACCTTGCTTTTTTTAAACAATTGACTTAGCCGTGAAGGTTTTTATTGAAAACATTGAGGGAATATCCTCTTTTTCAGTATTTAACTCCACAAGCAAGTCATTGGGGACCTTTTCCCTTGCTTGTCATATATTTTTCCCATCCAGGAATGATAATCGGTGTTTAGCACTGGAATAACAAATCCATACCAATGCATAGCCTGCAGGTAATTTGCAACCAGCGCTTTATGAAACCTCGGAGTTGTTCCAGCTTTTATGACATATAAAGCACTCAAGGGACTTTGCTGTATTGGTCAAGTCCGTTGTGCAAACTATCTCTTTCTGACCAGTTTGATACATGTCCTATTTTAACATCTTCCTAGAGTTGAGGGCTTTATTTTGGAGGGGTGCTTGGGATGTCAAGGGCGGGAGGAAGAATTAACATTTATTCCACATGTCAAATAGCTTAAAAATATGGATTATGACGGGTCACAGGAGCAAGGTACACTTGCTATAATAAAGCTTTTCTTTAACTGTTCAAATATTTAATTCTCCTGCACACTCAAGGACAAGCTAACAGATAAGGCAAGGGTTTAAGCCATTATAGTGCTTAAAATTCTCAAAGTGTAATATTTTAAGAAAGGAATAAACCAATGTTTGATACTGCTTATGATACTCCAGACCAGAAAATAACTGCATATAGAAACTGCTTAGCCAAACACTAAATAACAGCAGAAGTGACTTTTCTTTAGTTGCTCACTACTTCTTGACTTCCAGTAAATCTTTAATAAAGGGAACCTTAACATCAAAACTTGGATGCTCACAGCTATAGAGTAAGGCATCATATTCCAGTGGTTTCAGACTTGGTTGGTATAAAATTCATTTTGAGTTCAGACTTCACTGCGGTCCAAGTCCCAGGGCCTCAATGAAGCCTCCTGAACTCAAAGCGAGCCTCACAGGAGCCAGCTCTGTTAAATTCCACTTTGTACAGTGATGATAATTTGATCTTGAACAACTCTGTGTTATTAAATGAATGCATCACAGCACGTTCCAGCTAGCAGGTCCTATATTTAAGGATTTTCTAGGTGAAATTTTAAAGCTGTCCTAAGCACCAGGGGCTCCTGTTCGTGTACAAACGTTAGATAAACATTATGTAGACAGCCAGCTAACAAAATCAAACCAACTAAAGCACAATCACACACATTTAAGGAAAGAATGGATCATTCCACAGCAGTAAGCTCTCTGATACAGCAGGTTTTCCTTTGAGATAGAAATTAATATTCCTCCTCTCTTTTCATCAAAAAATATTGCACATTCCTAGTTTTCTGAAGACTCCGAGACACTGACCAAAGGCCATGTATAGCACTGGAAATAATAGGCCCAGCTTCCTTGACAAAATATTCCCTTCAAACAGGCCCTGCACTACAGCTGCATTACAGTATCAGAAAAGGTTTCTCACTGGGAAATTGTTTGCAAAATTGGTTTGGTGAGAAAAGAAATCTTTAAGCTGCCCGTATGACCAAGGCACTCGGAACAAATAACCTTAGAGCTGTACTTTGGTGAAGACATAAAGTCTCACTTTCAGCAGACACCTGACAGAAAACACAAGATGACCAAGGTTACACACAAACTGTCCCCTGTGTTTTACGCAACAACGAAATAATCACTGTTCAGGATAGATGCACATAAAAAGAACTTGCTGGAAGTTATTTTTAATATAAACAAACCAAAACTGCTTATGATTTGTAGGGTATGATAGCATGACAGACTAATCTGAACAGGTTTTGTTTCATGTCTCTAGGACAAGCATTCAATAAGTAATTCACATTACACAAGTCATCTTTGGTAAGACTGTACATCTGTGTCAATCACTCGGTAAACATTGGTTCTGGATATTTAGAATGTAATTCATCATAACTACAAGCTAGTATGAAAGTTGCAGGAGCATCCTCCAACTGTACATCAGCTTGCAAAGGGAAAAGTTCAGCTTAGCAATATCAAAATACCTTCACAGTTATGTAGCAAAAGTTACAATTCTTTGTCATATAGCATTACACTAGTTTGTCATTCTGCCTACAGTTAAAATGGACTTAGAGACAGCATTATTGTGAATTAACAACAAAATAGCTCCCAAAACATTTTAAGGGAGTAGGATCGAATGCTAAGACCTTTGATTAAAGCATCATTTTCTAACTTTGTTCTCTAACCCTAAATTATTAAAATACAGAAAAAAGTCATCATTATTTTAAAAAGATGCACCATTTAGAAAAGAAGTCTCGTTCCTTACAATATGATTTAAAACTAACAGAGAAGAATAAAACAGCGCTACATTAAGAACAGTCAAGATCATTTGGGTGGCATGATGTAGGTGCAGCCTTATGTCCTCTGTTATATGGCCCAACCATTGTTTTTGCCTTGTTTTTAAGCATAGTTGATGGTCACTGAACTTCTCCCACTTATCCTGAAGTGGATTGTCCATAAAAACTGCATTAACGCTTAAGACTCAGCATTTATTTACAACTTAAAAGAGGCACAGCTGTCCTACATCCTACAGCTGTGCTCACTCCACTGCAGTACTAGAACGGGCACAACAGCTCGGATATCTCAGGGAATGCATCATTGTTCTGAACGGCCTTTTTTTCCCCGTTTTATCAGCAGATGACTCCTCGTTACTTTTCTCAGTCGACTGAGCAGGCTCTGTCTGGAATTGTTCTATCTGAATCTCAAGATGCTTCTGAATGGCTAAGCCAAGGACTTCTGGATCCACAGATGCACCGTAGACTTCCCATGTCATTCCTTCATCATCCCATCTCACTTCACGTACTGGAGTTTTGGGGCCCTCCAAGTCTTGCTCCAAGTTCACCTCTGGGAACACATGCGAGTGGCCTTCTGCGGCGGTTGCTGGACTCGTTGCCACAGATTTGCATTCCATGATTGGAAGAGTTTGTACCTCGGCATCTCTGCGCTCAAGAGCTGGTTTCAGTCCTTTGGTTAAATCATTCATAGAGGTCATAGTCCACATATCCTTAGTTGTCATTGCCATGTCTGCACCTTGCTGGCTGCTAAAGGCAATACAGGCAGCCTTTGTTTCTGGAGGAGCTTCCTCCCGCTGAGCACAGCGTTGAGCATGTTGCATTTGTTCTCCTGGAATGCTACAGCACTTCAGGACTCGTTTGGCATCCAGGCCCGATTCACTTACTGAAGACACCAGCTTAGGGTAGGTCAGAATGTCTGAAGTAGAAAAGGAATGAAAATAGCCAGGCACTGCCTGCTCCTTCCCTGACTCACTAACCGAGCACACCAGCCGCGGAACCAGCTGTATAGATGGTATGGGCAAAGAATGGCAATAGGCAGGGATGGTGGCATCTACCTTCATACAAGGCTCCTGCCTCATATTACAGGGCCCAGCAGAATTGTTATGAACTGTCATCACCATTGGGGAGTACACAGAGTTTGGAATATTACCATAAGTCAGACCACCATGAATAATCCCAGGGGCTTGACTGAACATTGTCCTATTTGAGAAACCATTTCCAGGCATGTGAGGTCCTAGAACCGCAGCGTGAAATGTCCCAGGATCTGTGTAAACAGTTGTGTTACGTGGAATACCACCACTGTCAAAGCTATTGGTGGGTACTTTTTGATCTCTAGGTAGAATCGGAAAATGAGTCACAAGGTTTTGATAGTGAGATGCATTTTCATTTGTTTCAGATCCATATGTCTGTGTTTGGAAAGACATCCTGGCCACTGGTGGACCATGCCTGCAGCTAGAAGAGCTTAGGCTGGAGTGAGCACCACTGTCTTCTACGTGAGTGACATAAGTCTGCTGCTTGCAACTGCAGGTTAGGTCTGAGTGGCTTCTCCGAAGGGCAGTTCCTGGTTCTTCCATTTCACACATGCTTTGCTGCTGGACAATGCGGGCTGAAGGAACGTTCTCAACAGTGCTGCTCTTTACACACGTCTTAGCATCACCCACTTCCCAGGGTGCCGGGGGCTGTTCAGCAGTAAGGAAATGGTTTGCAGTCTTAGTTCTGCTCTGCAAATTGTCATTGGCTGACTGGTCGCTTATGGTTTGGACCACTGATCCAAGTCCCACTGTCCTGGGCTGCGAGAAGGACCATCCAGGACTCGGTGCACTCCTTGCATCACTTCTGTTCCCCAGAGTATGGCAGATGGTGCTACTGTGGCTTTTCTTCAGCTCCTGTTTGTTGCTCAGCCTTTCCTCTAAACTTGATTGCCTGGTACAGGCCAGATTTGAGGAGCTCTTCGACAGGGAGTGACTGTTGACATTCAGGAGACTTAGTGAGTCCTGGTAGGAATGAGTGTGGAGCTGGTGGCTGTCAGCTGACATGGCAAAAAAGAGAGATCTGCAAGAAATGGTGGGGAAGAAAAAGAAGCAATTTTAGAAGGAAATGAGTGCACTGTAAACTACAATCTCTGATGAACTTCTGCCTGGGCTTCTTGCTTTTCACAGTTTACAAATGCTTTTTGAAAAGCATTATACCGTAGTCTCTGGGTACTCAGATTGGCCAGTTTCCGTTTTCACACAGGATTTTTCCCTGAATAGATTCAGTATTTATTGAAATTGTGGTTTTTTTCAATTTCGTAAAATACAAAGGGGGAAAAAATTCTTCTTGATTTCTACCTTTTAGCAAAAATAATTTCAACACTGCCAAGTATCATCTCCTCTGAATTTCTGGAGCCATTTTTGGGACATCCAGAGATGTCATACTACTTAAGCAAAGACAGAAGCATTTTTAAACAAGACAGCTTTTTGCCTTGAAGTTCATTCAGCTGAGGATGTTTAAGTTTTTTGGCAAACAAAAAAAAATGTTCAATTTTTAGTCTCTTGCCATTGTCATCTCAGAAGCTATCCAATCACTGCTGGAGCTTTCCAATATTAACAAAGCCTGAACAACTGAACAAGTTCTCCCTTTTCCCCCTAATCTTCCCAACAATCTTCTTGGGATATCATTTCACAAGATCATCACTATTTTAGTCAACTGTTTTCCCAGAGTCCACACAAGTGTACAGTACATGTGGACAAAACTGTTTTGGCCGCCTGTGGCAGAGGAGACACGACAGAATGAGCCCTGCCAGGCCTGTGTGGAGGCGCTGCCAGTGTTCCCAGAACAAATAATGCCGGGAGCACGGGGTGAGGATACCTGCCTGGCCCATGGCAGGGTCAGTGGGCTTTCTAGCTTGTGCTTGCCGCTGGCACAATAGGAGGGGGCAGCAAAGAGAAATTCAGTGCAAGGCTGGAGGTGAAACTCCCCTAGGAACCAGTCAGATGGACAGAGAGCCCACATCTCAGCACAGAGTCTGTTAAGGGTGCATGCTTCAGTGCCTGCTTTGGGTTTCTTGTGGCCATCACCTTTGGGAATCCATAAGTTCACACTGGCTGTGGAAGGTACATACTCACCGTGTTAGAAGCAGGTTAAAAAAAAAAGACCAAGAAAATTTTTAACCAAAATATTGTGGTTCTCCTGTCCTTTTTTTTTGTTGTTTAGCGCACTCAGGCACTTTTATTGTTAGAAAACCCTTGCTCCTACTGGTTGGTATAGTATTGTATATGTTAACATTTATGTTAGTACTTCCACATATCAGAGAAGTTAGAACTGAAGATTTTGAATCTAACCAGATTTAGTGATCCGTTTTTATTGATTGAATCAGAGCTTTCACTGATCAACTATGCACATTCCCTTCGAGCCACAGCGGCCACGCAACATTTGTATAACTAAGTTATTTTGAGGTGCTCATATATCTATCTGCACACATACGTATAAATATCTCTTTCCTGAAAGAACCTGTTCTCTTGAACAGAAAAATCTAGAGCATTTATTCTCTGATTCTAGGTCAAGTACCACTGGATATCTTGTTGTGCAGAACCATAGTGGAAGGCACAAATTCGCAGTTTTGGAGAAGTTTCCCTCAGATACACTCTATACATTCTGCTTCCCTAGCAGGATCTCTACAGAAACCTTCACAATCTCTTGTGAAATGTATCACTGAAATAAAACTGAATATGTGGAACAAGGAAGGAATGTACACATGGTGCACAAAAGCATTCTAAATGTAACAGGAAAGTTCACTCATAACACCAAGGGACCAGTGACTGCAAGGGCTCACATTCAAATCGCTCAGTGAGAACTTTTAATATATGATCCTTTTAATATCATATTTACAGGCTTAGAGAGTTGTCTACCAATATAAGCAATAACGTCCACAAACCAAGAGCTCTACTTCTGATCCAGACAGCTACCAGTGCTTACGCTTGTATTTCCATTTCCACTGTTAGGTTTGGCAAGGTAATAGTTCAGGTCGCAATTTTCCCATCACCTGAAACCCACTTGTGTTGGCTGTTGTATGTAATGACATTAAACTTAGGAAGACAGCATTAAAAAATAAGAGTATTTGCAATCACTTCTATGAAAAGGTTCTCGTTGTGGGCTGCGCAATAGGGACCTGTGATCAGCAGCATTAGAGTTTGCTCAAATTTGGACCATACGCAGAAGGAAGTTCCTCCTCCATACGTGCTTGTTCAGTTACAAGTTAAACTCATTACAGACTCCACCTGCACCAAGTCTAGGCCTAGGCCTAGGCCGTGTAGCCTCAATGGCCTGTGGGACTCAGAAGGCTGGTTACATCTAAGGACAACACAAAAGCATCTTTTCTTCCAGGAATGGAATTTCAGATTCCTGAGTTAGAGGCACTGCTGAGTGCAGCTGCAGTCAAAAGCCACCACTTTGTTCCAGGCTGGTCATTGATGTATTTCTGCCTGTTTTTAAATGTCCTCACAAAATCTCATTCAACATTTAGAAGAGAAGCAAGAACTGGGAAGGCAACTGTTTTAAACCACTTGTCTCCTCCAGTATGTTACCTACCCTGGAGCCACTTAAACATATGTGTATAGTCTGCCACATAGAGTTCAAAGGAGTCAATTGGATTAAACATCAAAGCATAGCTGTCTGCAAGGTGAAGACCTTATATTTAATCTCTTTAAAACATAACACCTGCAGAGGCTCTCACACACACTGAGATGAAACAACATTTACTAATGGAAATCATCAGCCACAGATATTGAGTCTCAAGTGACAGGAAACTTCTATCACCCTTAACAGGATATGTCTGAAGGCTGTGCAAACTCTGAAGAGCTCTCTCACAAAGTTTACAAGGTTCAGGTACGCAGATACCAAGACCTCCATTTGCTTTGTTTGTGTATCATTGCTGCAGAAACCTCTGTAACTGGAATCGATGCACTTTGAGACTGAGCTTGTGATTCTGTGGTCCACCTGAATGTGAAAAAAACCATTCAGGTGAATGAAACAGTCCAAATATATTGACATCACTGGAAACAACATCCAGGGTGACCTCTGCAATGGAACACTCAAAGAGAACTCTGAAGAGGTTCAGGACATGGTTAAGAATGGGGAAAAAACAGTAAAAAAGAAAACAAAGCCCTGTTCAAACAGGATAAATCAGCTTCCTTTAGAATAATGCGCTTTCCTATTGTGTTGAAATCCAAAGTTATATTTTCCCAGCCAGCCTGAACCCTTCCCCATTTATAGGCCACCTACTGCTTTCTCCTTTCCACTCCCTGCTCCTTTTCCCCACGTGGGAAAGCCCTGGGACCCGTTTGCACCCAGCCCACCTGGCAGAGGGAGGCTCCTGAGGCAGACTTGCTCCTGTGGAGCTCTGCATGGAGGGTGATGGCTGCAGAACAAACTGCTGTCGGGTAGACTCATCCTTTCCTCACCTCTCCTGCAGCCAAACGTTGTCACAGCGTTTCACAGTAGCATAAGTGAGCACGCAGGTGTGCCACAAACTACATCAGCTTTCTACTCTGATTTTCTATTTTTTTTTCAAACTGGCTTAGCTCTCACTATGCCAGCTGATGTACACCAGCCACGTCAATCACTAACATCAGCACAGGGAGGAAACAGAAGATGACTCCTCTCTGCAGAAACAGAAACTACCTGGTGCCATAAACCCAGAGCAAACCCGTGCATGTGATGCCCCCTTCTTCCTGAGACTTTGGAAATGGCAACATAATCCCATACCCACCTTCCCAAACTCCTCATTTCACACATGTGATCTTGGTGCTGATTGCCCAGGGTGCAGAGAAATTCCTCCCTGCATGTAGACATCCCCACAGAAGAGGCACAATGCTACCCATACACAGGCAAGAGAGGTGCTGGACTTCTGGGAGTGCTTGTGCAGGCTACAGCCCGGCGATGAGTGCTGGGAGGGGCAGGAAGCACAAGGTTGGGTGGTTATCTGTACCAGGGAGGGGCTGGAAGCAGGTATCAGAGGATGGTGTGACAAACTTATTTTTTTAATTAAAAAAATAAACCACAACCAAAAAACCCCCCAAAACCTAACCTAAGCTCTCGGATTTCACAGTCAGGCAATGCCATTGTATTTTGTGAATCTGGAATGGATTGCCCATGTGAAACACGGATATAAGCACAGGTGACTTAGTGGGTACTTAGGAGCTGAAACAACTTCTTGCACATGTTGGGGCAAGAAAGACTTCTTTGCTTAACTTTCCCTTTTTAAAAAGTAAATGCATGATTTACAGGAAAGTGATTTTATTCAAAAATACCTATTGTAGATTCTGAGTTGATCTGAGAGATTTTCATTTAGAAATTCAGAAGAAATCTACACCTGAATACACAAACAAAAGAGCAGGACCTTTGAGGCAGATACCCTGCTATGGATATATAGAAAATTGTTAGACATGCAGAGAAAGGATTAGGATAGAAATGGAATTAACATCCACTATTTTTGGCTTAGCTTCAGATAGCTTATGAGGGGATCTAGGCTGCTTTCACTAATTCCACTGAACTACTTTAAAGCAACAAATGTGTATTTTGCTATGACTTATGATTAAAGTTGTGACCTATTTAATGCACTAGTAAATTTAGTCACAGAATATTAAATACCGTGTATGTTATCAGTTGAAAGACATTCACTGGTAAATTAACTATGATTACAAAACTCTTCAGTATTTTTGTATTCTATGCTTGCACTTTTAACTACAATTTTGACAAAAAACACAAGTGGATATTAAGTGGAATAATTCATTACAATCATGTCAATATATAAATCAAGCTTTCATGTAACATAATAATACTACATGATATTTCAGTATGACCATATTTAGCTTCTGCGTTATGCTTTTGCTAGTAATTTGTTTTTCTTTGCATTGGCAGGCTTCAAAAGAGTGATATGATAAACAAGACATCCACAAAACAAATCATAGTTTTCAGAGCAAGGATAGTTAACGTGAGATAGGAACATAAGATAACATGTTGGCCACAGAAGAAATCCAGCCGGGCCTGCATTTCC